CTGATCTCCTTTGAATGCAAAATCCGACCCTACCAAGTCCTATGTGGCTGGAATGAACTGCCTTGACCCATACTGTCTGGAAACTAGTAGCGGTGCATACCCAACAGAACTCCATATACCTGGCAAAGGAACCCAATCTCGCTATCCACATCGGTAAAGTATATCCGAAGAGGTTTTCCACGAAGCTCGCCACAAAATATCTCCATCTCTAATATCCTTGAAGATGACAATCCATTTTTCTTCGGTGAAGCCCCCAGGCCATTCTTTAGAAAGAAAATCTTTCAAAGGCGAGAACCCCTCTAGAAACACTCGTCCTGGTGCTCTTTCAACATGTTTAAAATGACTCAGAATCCACACTAGCAGCAAAGGCGCACATCCTATAAAGCGTCATTCTCCCTCGCGCCTATAAGAACTCAAAGACCGGAACGTCTCAGCTAAAATGGCTGGAACATGATCCACATGCTTGTCTAATCTTTCAAATAGGTCAACGACTGATACGTCTACATATCCTAGCACTTTTGGAAAAATAACGAGCCCATAAATCCCTAAAGCAAACAAGTCAAGCTTCTTTCTCTTATCAGGATGATGAGCAATTACTTCTTTCAGAGCAGCCCAAGAGATGCACTCACTGTCTCCCTTCTTCTTAATGTTTCTGGTTACCCAATCTTCACTCATTCCGGTCATCAATAGTAATTTCTTCTTAAATGAAGGAGTGACTGGCAGCTTGATATATATTCTATCTATCTGGGACCTCGGACAACGGACCAATGCTTGATACTCCTCTATTGTTGGTGTTAGATCCACTCTACCAAGTGTGAAACAGCCATAAGCCGGATTCCAGAACTGCGCCAATGCTCTAAATAGATTTCGATCAATAGGAACATCCAGAAGATAAGGAATATCGCCATACAACTGATAAAACATCTCCTTATCGGCTGCTTCCCATCTTCCTCATATCTCTCTTAGCTCACTCAGATCATTCTGACGCACGTTGATGTGAGTATAACCAAATAACTCCGACACGTATCCAGGCATCACGCTGTCCCCATTGGTCAGTTGGGACTGTTCTGACCACCTCAGAACATCGACATTGTCCTCAACCTTTTTCTGAACCGTTTGTTCCATATTACTGGCCTTCTATATGGACATCGATCCCAAATCAACACCATGTAATGGATAGTGCAATGCAAAAAAGAAAAGAAACAAGACAAAGACAACAAAAGATCGGTTAGTAAACATAAAGCAATTAAATCGGGATAATAATTTGTTCAAGAATCCTACCCACATGTTGGCTACCCAATCATGCTTTATCAGATCCTACCCAACATGATATCTACCCCCATGCTTTGTTATTCACAAAAATAAATCCTAACTGCATGATATCTAATTTGCATGCTTGTTCAAAAAATAAACCTAACCGCATGATATCTAGTTCGCATGCTTATTCAAAAAAAAATGAAACTCAAAAAAGCTTTTCCTTGTGTACCCTCCTCATGGGATTCTTAAGGTTCGGGTTTAGTTCAACCTAAGTTCGGGCTCTACGTTCACTATATGCCGGGTTAGGTTCTAAAGCAATAGGTTCTCGAATTGTCCTTGTTGGTTCCCCCTTGGGCTGCCGAACCCTCAATCCTGGCCCATCACAGGCTTTAGGGGATCGAGTTCAATTTCGAGGGAATACACCTCCTTATGTCCATACGGAGGTGATTACCATCACGAGGACCATAAGGCGTGAGCTCCAGGAGCAATCCACTATCCCATGCGGAGGTGAAAACCACACGAGGGCATAGTCTCTCACTCCTACTTAAATAGGACGGAGCGGGGTTTTAGCTCATGTTATGATAATGCAGTTGTGCAGTGTGTGAGGAAAAGCGAAAAAACAATAAAAAAACACTCAAAATCAATTCCCAAAACACACAATTATTCTGAAATCATTAGCAAACAGATCAGTACAACTATTTAATTGTCAATCAAATTAAATTAAAGAAATCAAAATACAAACAAAACTTATTAAAAACAAAGCAAGGGATCAAAAATCAAATTAAAACGAATTTGTAATTTTCAATTGCAAAAACAATTAATTAATCAACTATCGGCTTGACTCTCTAAAAAAAGTTCCCAGTGGAGTCGCCAAGCTGTCGAAACGATTTTTTTCTTGAAGGGTGAAAAAAGGTGAGATTTTGAAAACCACATTAATTCTTAATTATCTCTTTTTAATTTAAAAACAAATGCGATTTAAAAGACCTCTTGTTTCGAAAATTTTTGGATTTCCTTTACGATCGAACAATACGGTTCAAGGAGTCGCCACCAATCTTTGATTAGGGTGTGATTGGGCACCCAAAAATGCTTTGTCATTTTAAATAAAAATTAATTTTAATTAAAACAACAAATTGAGGTCTGCGTTACCAAAATCCGAGTTTGGGAGTCGGTTACGTGTGGGGAAGGATTAGCACCCCCACAACGCCCTAAATAGGTACCTAGTCAATTAATTAACGTTTTTGCAATGAACTTTACAAATTCGAACTTAATTTAATTTTTGATCCCATAAAACAAAGATATATAAATTTAAAAACATTTAACATCACTCAAACAAATTAAATTAAAATTACCAAGTCATTTTAAAAAGATAAAGAATGTTCGATTATTTACAAATATCGAGACCAAATCTTAAAGATATAACAACCTTTTCTCGATATATTTAAATAAACGAACATTTCTTTTTCTTTCATTCCCAAATTTTAGGCGACGAATCAATTTTTTTGGTTTCACTTTCGGGATACACTTTTATTTTAAAATCATTAAAAGCAGACCTCAAATCAGTTATGACTGCCCACTTAAAACAATTTTAAATTAAAAGTGTATTACCCTTAATTCAATTATGTATTATGTCGAGTTATGCAAATGCGGTTACCATGCGAATCGTGCAAGAAGGATGTCATGCCAAAATTAATTAAAAAACATTAAAAATATCATACAACGTAACATACAAAAAAAATTATATATATATTTTAATTAAAAATCATAAACCATTCATATTAACATATTATGTACAAGTGTGACTCAAATATAAAAATAAAAACATGATATGTCAAACTACGAATTTTTTAGAAAAAACATGTATATACATATTAAAAATGTGACTAAATTTAAATAAATGTAAAATCCAATCTATAAAATCAAAAGTAATCCAATGACCTAATTATAAAAATGCTCACAAACAAGGGACCTACACATGAATAACTAATATTAAAACTGGAAAAACAACAAAATTAGGACAAACATATGAGGTTAAATTCTAAAGTAGTCCTAAAGGTGACTAAGGTGTAAAACAAGCTTAAAATTTGAGGACTAGAAACCTGATTTCACCAAGAAATACAATGGCTAAAAATTAATTAATCCAAATGATATTATACAAAACCTAACTAAACCTAAACTAAAGTTTAATTTACCCTTTGGCCGCACAACTCTTCTTCTCTCACATCACGCAGCCATGGATTTCAAACATTGCCTCTCAACGCCATCATCTCTGACATATCACTTTTGCTTTCTATTTTCTAATCCAATATTGCATTATCATCTATAATAGGGATTGGAACTGTCGGTAGCCGAGCTATAGCCTATAGTCAAACTCCTCTGCTACTCTTAATTGAAACCCTCAATACTCATAAGCCTTCAAAACTTCTTTGGCCACCGCTCAACAATGGCCCCTTTCTCCGATCACCCAAAACTTCTGTGACACCTAAACTACTTCCCTACTCCGGTGAAGACTCAATATAACAAGGTAAATGGATTTCTCTATTTTCTATTTTATTTCGAAATCATTCGACTCATTAAGACTAAACCCAAATTTTTTACGACAATGAAATCCTAACGGCGACGAGAAGTCAACTAAACTCCACCGGATTTCCTATAACCCAAGTAATTCAACCCCAAAACCCTTTCTTCTTTACTAATATTTCATCCTTAAACGCACACAAAGGCACTGGAAAACAAAAATTGAAACAAATAAAAAATACCTCAATAAATTTGTATTGCTTCGAGAATAGTAGGGAAAATCTTTGTTACACTGCTCGCCCTTTCGAATACGGGAAAAGGACTGCTGTTTACACTGCTTATGTTTGCCTTGTATTTTTCGTGTCAAAATGAGAACGATTACACTGTTTTTTGTTACAATGAATCCCCTAAAAAAATGCAGTGCTCTCCCCTGTTCTGTGCTCTTCCTCCCTCTGGTTCCTCTCTGGTAGCCCCCCTAATGCTCTCTTTTTTAGTGGTTAAATGTCCCACGTTTCTGGTAGTTATTTCCCCACTATCTTTTTTCTGGTTTTTAACTCCCAAAAACTACTTTCATTTGCCCATGATATAGGCCCAGACAAATTAAGCATATACACAAATGTTTTAAAATTTTTAAGGGACGAACATATATTCATGTTGTTCTTGCTACAGAGGTGGCATTGGATCCATTGATCGGGGGCTCGGGGCAATATCTGCCGGGAACACGGTGCTGCTAAAACCATCGAAAATGGCCCCAGCTTGCATGTCTTTTCTCACTCAAGCCATTCCTCAATACTTGGACAACAAAGCCATTAAGGTCATCGGTGGTGGAGCAGATGTAGGTAAACAACTACTTGAGCTGAAATGGGACAAAAATATTCTTCACCGGTAATAAGTTCCCTCCACTTTAAAAACATTCCAATGTATCCGACGATCGGAATCGACAAATATTTCTGATTTTGGTTTATCTGTAGGGAGTCCAAGTTGGTCGCTTGGTCATGACTGCAGCTGCAAAACATTTGACTCCGGTTACTTTAGAGCTTGGTGGCAAATGCCATGCCATTGTGCATAATACTCTCTCCAACCCTTCAAAAGGAAAGGTATTTTTACTTATTTTATGTATCATTTAAAGCCTTATGTATGTATATATGAAGAGGGTCAATGGCTTGACGCCTGTAATTTGCTTTATGGTATCAATGTGACTGCTAAAACAATTATAGAGGGAAGTGGGGGCCTTTCACTGGACAAGCTTGCATTGCAATAGGTTATGTTCTTGTGGAAGAGAAATTAGCTTATACTCTGGTATTAACTATGGAATTTTTAATGGAACAGGAGAATGGAATTTCAATTTGAATTCATGGATTCTTTTTTTGGTTTCAGATTGAGATATTAAAGAAGTGTATCAAGAGGTTTTATGGTGATAACCTCAAAGAGTTGAAAAGTATCTCCAGAATTGTTAACAAGCACCAGTTTCAAAGATTGGTTAATCTCATGAAAGATCCCCATGCTGCATCCTCAATTGTTTATGGTGGTTAAGTGAATGAAGAACAACTGTAATTTTTGTTGCGGAAGGCGGATATAGAATAGAGCAAAATCGCAATTAATAATTTGAAAAAATAAAAATGAAGATAAAATAGACACAAAATTTACGTGGAAAACCCCTAAATAATATAGGGTAAAAACCACGGCCAACGGTAGAAGAATTTCACTATGAGAAAATAGGAATTACAAATTCTCTCGATCTACCAAGGAGAAAACAATGATAATTCTCTCTTGATAAAAAAGAAGAAAACAACTATCAATAAACTCTATAAATTCTCTAGTATTGGGAGAAAGCTAGAATGATTTGGGATGATTTTGAAGCTAAATGAGCTAGGATATTTATAGTTGAATCTTAAGGACTAATCTTATAAAGACCATAAAGTACAATGACTAAATTTAAGATTTTACCATTTTTTTCAAAACTTTCTGCACTGAATTTTGACAAAACATTTTCGGTGCTTTCGGTGCAATAACTTGCACCATCGAAAATGCTTTGACTTTTCAACAATCTCCCACTTGAAGATTTGATTGGAACAATCATATATTCACACTATTCTTTCTACCTTGTACCATTATGTTGCTTATGTCTCTGACATGCCACAAGAGGACCGATACAGGTAAATATATCAACATTGATCGCCTTCGTCATAAAATTTGCTATCCTGTCTTTGGTATGGATTTTCTACATATCTACCATCACTTCTTCCACCTTTTCACGAATGAAATGGTACTGAACTCGTATGTGCTTTGTCCTTGAATGAAATGTTGGATTCCTTGCTAGATGCAGGACGCTTTGACTGTCACAAAATAGAGAGACATACTCTTGATTGTGCCCAAGCTCCTCCAATAGCATCTTCAACCAAATTGCTTCTTTACTGGCTTGTGTAGCTGCTACATATTCTGCCTCTGTTGTAGAAGTAGCCACAACTGACTGCAATTTTAAAACCCAGCTTACAGCTCCACTAGTAACTTTGAACACATATCCTGTAGTAGATTTACTTTTATTCAAATCCACTGCATAGTCAGAATTGACATACCCATTGATAAGTAAGTTTGATCCTTCGTAACATAATGCAACATTTGAGGTCCCTTTGATGTATCTCAGGATCCTCTTTACTGTATTCCAATGCTCTTTGCCTGGATTTTCCATGTACCGACTAACCACTCCCACTGCTTATGAAATGTCTGGTCTTGTGCATATCATAACGAACATTAAACTTCCCACTGATGATGCATACGGTACTCGAGACATCTCCATCCTCTCTTGTTCACTGCTATGACTCATACTGGATGATAATTTGAAGTTAATAGGAAGAGTGTAGAAATTGACTTATAATCTTGCATGTTGAATCGTGACAAGATTTTCTTCAAGTAATTCTTTTGTGAAAGCCAAATCTTCATATTACTTCTGTCTCGGTGAATTTGCATCTATATAATCTTGTTTGTTGATCCCAAGTCCTTCATTTCAAATTCCCTAGCCATTTGTGCCTTCAATTCTTCAATATGATCTTTGTTGGGTCCTGCAACCAACATGTCATCCACATACAACAACAATATAACAAAATCGTTATCACCAGACCTCTTGAAATAAGCACAAGGGTCTGCATTAAGTCTGTTGTATCCAAGACACACAATGAAGGAATCAAATCTCTTATACCAACACCTCGACGACTGCTTTAGACTGTACAGAGATTAGTTCAACCTACAAACCAAGTTCTTCTTTTCGTCTTCTTCAAAACCTTTAGGCTGGAGCATGTAAATCTCTTCTTCAAGATTTCCATGAAGAAAAACTATTTTAACATCTAGTTGCTCTAGATGTAAGTTCAATGTAGCACACATTGCTAAGACTACTTGAACTGTTGTTAGTCGAACCACATGAGAAAAGATTTCATTGAAATCAATACCTTCTTTTTGAGCATATCCTTTGACCACCAGTCTTGAACGATACCTCTCCACTTGATCGTCACCATTTCACTTGATTTTGAAGACCCATTTGTTACCAATTGGCTTCCTTCCTTGTGGTAGTGGTACAAGGTCCCATGTATTATTTTTATGAAGGGATTAAATTTCTTCTTGCGTCGCCATCATCCATAGTGAAGCATCTGAGCTGTTTATTGTCTCCTGGTATGTTGATAGTACACCGTCCTCTATTAAAAGGCAGTATGCAATATTACCTTCTATAACATAATCTGAGTTCCAATTGGGACGTCTTCTCACACGATCTGATTGACGAGTTGTTGGAGCTTCATAACTCCCTGGTTCTTGTTCATCATGTGCTGCTTCTACTTCAGAAGAATCTCCTTGTTCAACCTCCTTTTCCGTATGTATTTGTGTAGTCTCTGACTTTTCAGCGCTATCATCGTCTTCTTTTCTTTGTATTTTATCTTCTACAAAGATATCATCTCTACTGATGATCACTTTGCGGACAGTGGGATCCCACAAGTGATACCCCTTTAAACCATCAGCATACCCCAAGAATTTGCATTTCCTGGATTTTAGATCCAGCTTTGAAATTTCTTAGGAGTTGTACATCACATACATAATACTTCCAAATACATGGATGTTTGAATAATCAGCTGGTTTACCAGTCCATATCTCCAATGGTGTCTTTAGCTTTATTACAGTTGATGGAGCTCGATTCACCAAATAACAGACGATATTAACTGCTTATGCCCAGAATGATTTTTCTATGCCTGCATCCCTCAACATTGCTCTTGTTCTTTCTAACAAGGTTCTGTTCATTCGCTTTGTCACTCCATTTTATTGAGGAGTGTTCGCCATTGTGAACTGTCTTTTGATGCCTTCTTTCCTGCAAAAATCACCAAATTCTTAACTTATGTATTCTCCTCCATTATCTGTTCTGAAACACTTGATCTTATTTCCATAATCAAGTTCCACCCGCGGTTTGAAGTTTTTGAATGTTGAAAACACGTCTGGCTTCTTCTTAATAGGGTACACCCAACATCTCCTGGAGTAGTCATCAATAAATGAGACAAAATATTTTGCTCCGCCTAGGGATGTAACTGGTACTTGCCATACGTCAGAGTGAACCAATTCTAGAACACTTTTGCCTCTAGAATTTGATGTGTTGAATTTCAACCGGTGTTGCTTTCTTGTTATGCAATGCTCACACAAAGTAAGTGATACCTTTGTTAAGCCTTGAAGTAGCTTTTGCTCCACAAGGAATTTCATTCCTTGTTCTGACATGTGTCTAAGTTTCTGATGCCATAGCATTGAAGAATCTGAACTACATGAGGCAACAGAGGCTTCTGCTTCTAGCAAAGTCTCTCCCTTCAGCATGTACAAGTTTTCTGCTATCTTTTCACCTTTCATCACCACAAGTGCTCCACAGAACACCTTCATGATTCATTTCCATGTTTCAATTTTGCTTGCATTATTATCCAACAATCCATAGGATAATAAATTTTTCTTCAGGCCTTTCACGTGGCTCACATCTCGAACAACTTTAATTGTTCCATCATACATCTTCAATTTGATGGTTCCCACACCAACGATCTGTAAAGCATGATCATTGCAACTATACACAGATCCTCCTGAGATAGGTTCATAATGATGGAATCATTCTCTTCTTGAGGTCATATGATATGTCACTCTCGAATCAATGAGTCATATATCTGCAAATCTTTTTCTGCCTTCCACGGTGGTTGACGCTTCACAACATAGAGCATCTCCATCATCTGAAGTGTTTGCGGTATTGCCTTGTGGATTGGAATTTTTATTTAGACTCCAACAATCTTTCTTCAAGTAACCCTTCTTTCCACAGTTGTAGCACTTTAAATTCTTTTTGCTTCTTGACTTCGATCTACCATGTTTGTAACTGCTACTTTGGCCACATTCTGTTGATCTCCCTCTCATCATTGTCAACGCTCCTGCTTGTTGCAGATTTACTTGTCTGTCTTCCTTGTTCTTGCATCGATTTTCTTCTTTTAGAACAGTAGTTGCAACGTCATCGAAGACTAGACTGGCGACATTACTGTTTGTCAAGTTGATGATGAGTTGATCATACGAATCATGTAGACTTTGAAGTAGAAGTTCAGTCCGTTCTTATTATTCTATTGTACATATTAAGGATGTAAGCTGAGAAAATAAAGTGTTCAATGTGTTTAAGTACTCCGTCACTGAAGTAGATTCTGACATACATAGAGTGTACAATTTCCTTTTACGGAAAATTTTATTGTGCAACGATGTGGCCTCGTACAATTTGGTGAGATGATCTCATATCTCCTTAGCTATCTTCTCCTCCTCGATGCTTGAAAATACTTCATCTGCTATTGCTAGATGAAAGTTTGTCATATCATTCTCGTCTATCTCGATCCATTTGTTGTCATCTGTGAAATCTACTGGCCTTTCACTGATAGCTGCTAGACAACCGTTTTTCCTCAGGATGACCTTCATCTTCAATTTCCACAATGAGAAATTTCTCCCATTAAATTTTTCAATATCAAATTTTGTTGTCATAGCTTCTATTACGGGTAGCTCCCACTATTTCACTATCGTGAATAATTATCTGTAACCTTCAAAGAATGGGTAATATCTTATTACTTTCTTATGTTGGAGGATCCACCTTTTGGTGGAAACCACAAAGAAAATAAGCAGATATAACATACTCAAATCTGGCTCGGATACCAATTGTTGCGGAAGACGGCTATCGGATAGAGCAAAATCGCAACTGATAATTTGAGAAAATAAAAATGAAGATAAAAGAGACATAAAATTTACGTGGAAACCCCCTAAATAATATAGGGTAAAAACCACGGGCAACGGTAGAAGAATTTCACTATGAAAAAATAAGAATTACAACTTCTCTCGATCTACCAAGGAGAAAACAATGATAATTCTCTATTGATAAAAAAGAAGAAAACAACTCTCAAGAAACTCTCTAAATTCTCTAGTATTGGGAGAAAGCTAGAATGATTTGGGATGATTTTGAAGCTAAATAAGCTAGGGTATTTATAGTTGAAACTTAAGGACTAATCTTATATATACCCTATAGTATAATGACTAAATTTAAGATTTTACCATTTTTTTCAAAACTTTATGCATCGAATTTTGACAAAGCATTTTCGGTGCTTTCGGTGCTTTTGGTGCAACAACTTGCACCACCGAAAATGCTTTGACTTTTCAAAAAATTTCTTCTTAAACTCTTCATTTATTTTAAAATAGTCACCTTTATCTATAAGTACATAGAGCTTATTTATGGCATTAAGGGGTTGTTTGTTTACTTCAAAATGATTAAGCGCTGAATGATTCAAATGTTGAATGATTCAGAGGCTCTGTATGAATTAGCTCTGAATGTGACATGTTGTTTGATAATAGCTCTGAATCATTCAGAATGTACTTCTGTGTTGAATCATTTAGCACTGTTTTGTTGAATCAGTCATCACTGAATCATTCAGAGGTACGAAACAAACGTGCTGAATGCTGAACCGTTCAACATTCAACGCTGAATGGTTCCATTAAGAGGCAAACAAAACAACCCCTAAGTTAGCTGAATCATTTAGCTCATTTGGATTTCGAAGCATTTATTCTTATTTAATGTAAATTTATCACTTTTTTACAGTGTCATTGAGCCAACAATCTTATTAGATCCACCACTTGATTCTGAGCTCATGAATGAAGAAATCTTCGGCCCATTGCTTCCAATAATTACAGTGAGAGATTCTCCACTTCAGTTTTCTTGTTAATTTTCCTCCTGCAGAATGTTTGTTCTAAAGAAAGTCACCATTGTTGTATAGCTGAAAAAATTGAAGAAAGCATCGAATTCATCAACTCCAAGCCAAACCCTCTTGTTATTTGTGCTTTTACTGAGGACGAAACCTTCAAGAAACAAATTTTATCAGAAACTTCTTCGGGATCTGTAACATTCAATGACTCCATGATTCAGGTATTATTTATTCACCTTCTATTCGAACTTCTAATGTATTTCTGTCAAGCAAATGCTATATTTAGTTGCAGCAAAAATCCCCAAACTATCACACAAGCTTTAAATTGATCTTAAATTTCGGAAACATTCTAATCGACTCATCAAAGTATCAGCAATGTATTATTCAATCTTTCTATATGTGTATACTTATCAAATGGACAACTTAGATACGAAGTGTTAAATGAAATAGACAACATGGTACTTTTTAGCATGTTAGATCAAACTGTCAATGCATCAAATATATGTGTTTACCATTTGATCCACATATTTTAAATATCACACTAAAATTTGAACTGATATGTATCGTCTAAACTAATGGTAAGCAGTGGGGAGATCCATTTATTTCCACCATGAATTATGATTTTCTTTAGTTAATTAATTATTTATTTTACCTGCTGTACCAACCACCCTATATAAAAATTTTATGTTGTTAATATATATGTGGTCACCTTGAAAAGTATTTTTAGGTCCGTCACTGATAGTAATCAAATTTTTATAATCAAATTCTTTATGTATTGACATGTTAAATGTTAACAATGTGTGTGTACAGTTCCTATGCGATTCACTGCCATTTGGAGGGGTGGGACAAAGTGGGTTTGGAAGGTACCATGGGAAGTACTCATTCGACACTTTCAGCCATGAGAAATCTGTGTTACAGAGAGCCTTCTACCCTGAACTGGAACCAAGGTATCCTCCATGGACGAATTTCAAGCTTATGTTCATCAAATTAGCCTACGGGTTCGACTACTTTGGATTATTGCTCCTCATGCTGGACTTCAGAAAGTCTTAGTTTGGGACGACAACCAGCTTCGTAACAAAATGTTCTGTTCTTTATAGTAATGACTCCCTTTACAATTCACAATAAAAATGTTTGGTTCTTTTCATTATCTGTACTGTTTCTTACTTTCTTAACAATAACGAGGATGCATGTGCCACCATTTTTTGTTCCTTGGGCAGTAAAGGGGCGGTAATCCAAAACCTAATGGGATATCCGTTGAATCTATGATATCTTTAGCGTTGGCCTATTGAGATTTGAGACTTGGGAATAAACCTAACCTACATTAATTATTATTATTTAACAATCATAATAAAATTTCATTAAAGTTCGAAAATTGAATCTGTTAAGTGACTTTAATGGTTAAAAGTAAAGGTGTTTAAATTTCAGTTTTAATCGAATTAATCGATCGAACCGAAATTCTATTGGATAATCGGTCAATTAATTTTAAGATCAGTCAGTTACTACTTTGTAATCACCTCATACTATTAAAATAAATCGAAAAGGTGAAACCAACCAGAAACGTATCTAACTCGTATTAATGGAATAAAAAATACTTATTTTTGTACAGAAGACATATACCTAACATTTTACACCAGAATGAAACCAATCTAAAAACACATGGTAAACCAAACGTTGCGAAAAAAGTTCTCCACAAAAGCAGCTAAAGTTAAATAAAATAAGGGTAAAATAAAAAAAATCATCACTCAACTTTCTTCTCATTTCTATTTTGATTACTAAACTTTAGAATTTTCATTTTAATCACTGAACTTTTGAATTATTTTTTATTTTAATCACTTGACTGTTTTATCTATTTGTGGGTTGACTTGACGTTTTTTTTATTAATCTTTTAGACTAGACGCCACACTGATCATTGTTATCGACTACCGTTAAAACTAAAAACATATTTTAATTCTTTGAATCTGAATTCAACCTTTGCTTCACCCCAAATGGCGAGCCTAAGCTTGACAGCAGTCGGGGGCAGACGAACGGTTGGTGTCTTCAGCAGTAGCACCAATAGGGTTATCGACGACGATTGTCTTTCATGAACGATCTAACCTCGACCTTTAAAGCAACACGGTCTAAAATTAATACGGAAAGAAAAGTAAATGGAAGGAAATATGAAAGTTAGGGTTTGTGTTTTTCATGAATAAGGCTTTGCCTTTGAGATCCCGATGGTGGGAATACTCCTCATGTTGGCAAGAGTAATATAGCTCGAAAATAAAAGCATCGAACGGTGGATGATAGAAGAAATTGAAGGGTTGATCTTAGATATGCGATTAAAGGGATAGATTTTCGGAAATCGAAGGACACATTAGTGATAAGGGCATCGAAAACAAGATGAATGCAAGTTTTGAGTTAAGGCGATCGCCGATAGTGATAATCAATGACCAAATGACTTATCAATAAGACTGACGGTAAATAATTTTGAAAAAACTATACAAAAAAGGGAAATTAAAAGAAAAAGGAAATGTGAGAACATGAGAAGAAAAAAAGGATTATGGGGGTTTAAATACCGCCCTAAAACTATATTGTTTTGGGGCAGAATAGAAGCTCCAAAACTGTAAAACAGCAAAATAGTTCACATTAACATTGATAAAATGATAAAATAGTTAACATTGTTAACAATATAAATCGGTATTTGACTTATTGATCAAGTAATTTGAATATAATATTGTAGATGACCATTATGAGAAAATTTTTCAATCCAGTTTGTTTCGTTCACAAAAATAAAAATAAAATTTGAATATTATTTAAAGGACCTAATGAACTATCTCACTAGATTAAATGATCGTTGATTAACTATATACTTTTAAGTTAACCATGTACTTCTATAATGTCACATGTTTATCTAATGGATTTTTCATTATAGAGAAATAGCTCTTCAAAGGGGTGCTTTATGAAAAATTACATTGACATTTTAATTAAAATACTTATAAATATGGACTGTTTGGATTTATTAATCTGAATATAAAAATAAATTTATCAAAGTCTTATTAGATTGTTATTTAAAAAAAGAGAGAAGATATAAATTTAAGCATAATAGAATTTGATAGGAAGAAACTTTCCATCTTTATGGCATATAAGAAATACTAGAAAGTGTAAAGATCGGTAGTCTAATTTAAGGTTAAAAAATGATGATTTCGGAGTGCAATCGAAAATATGATAAAAATCATAATATTTTATGTTGAGAGCAACTAAAATGTTACTTTTTTCTAATATTTTCGATTGAACCGAAAATATTACATTCTTCTTAACATTTTAAGTTCATCCGAAAATGTTAGTAAAAAGGTAATATTTTAGTTTGCGTTTAACCTAAAATGTTAGTAAAAATATAACATTTGATTTAATAGTCATTTTAAGTTTTATTTTTTTATGAAACATTTTAATTCTTAACATTTCATTTTAGGATAAATAAATTACGTTGATAGTTTATTAACTAATAATTTCAATTAATTGAGGGGTATTTTTGTTCTAAAATTGAATGTTGTGATCAAAATACTTTAAAAAGGAATATGACTAAACTAATTATTAAATCGAACATTAGAGGCATTTTTTGTTTGATCTTTGGTGGCTTAAAGTTTGGACAAAGGCAAATCCATTAAGCTCTGTCTGCTCCAAACATCGGTCCCGATTGCAAGGCAAGTTGGAAGATGACAATGGGCAAAAGGAGTTTAGATTTTTGGTCCACATAAGAGGCAAACATCATGCTATTAAAAGAAGTGTCCGTCGTTTCCAACACCCAGAGGCAGATTTTAGGCCACTTTTTTAAAGCTATTTTACTGGTTTTCTAAAAGTATTAGCAAACATTATCTGAACCTGTTCTATAATCATGCAAATACCCTTTTGTTTTTATGGATTACAGCAGCTTCATTATAAATCTGGACCATTTTGCAGCTATACCCTTTTGTTTTTGCCTTTTCTAGGGAAGACTGTCCCCATCAAATCCAGAGCCTCACCACAGACTGTAAGGGCATTTGTTTTTTGTTCTTTTTTCTATTTTTATTTGACAGACCGCAAGCTGAGCAAAGTAATGGTTGTAAAGCCAGTTTCGGGAACCCTCTTTTCTGCACAAGATTTACCTCTCTGCTCAGTGGTGGTCAGTGGCCATACAGGGGGTTCCTTTCCAGTGCCTCGATGTGTCATAACAAATCCCAGTGGTCTTAGATGACTTTTTTGGTCTTTATTTTAAGCCTTTCAATTCTAACAAAGGACTGGTTGATGTGGTTAATCATTGGTGTTCTCATTCTCTGCCGAGTTTCTTTCACTTAGCTCCAAACTACAAACGCCCAACCCGGCTCTCAGTTCTATGCTCTTCTTCTCTCGTGTCTGTGGACTACAGTTTGCTGAGGCTAATTGGACGTCAGGACTATCAAGTAAACACAACGAAAAGGTTAAACCATCTGGGATTTTTTAAAATTCATAAACTAAGAAAAATGGCACATCATGAATCATAACTTATGGTGAATTCACCGCATGACCCGATGTGTAGAATGACAGCAGCACAAAGAAATAGAATATATACATTCCCATTATTCTTTGGCTATTCTATCATTCAGTGAATTGACGAAAGTTATGACTTGCTGCACAAAAAGAGAGTTTGATATTATATCGAACAACATAGATAAATATTATTCCTTGTTGTCTTCTCAACTTGAGAATCCGAGAAAAATCGAAAGCGGCTGGGAGCATGGGGAGACGGTCTCAGATACTCCAAAAACTCACGGGTAAAGTTGCAGTTGCAGCTGCACCAGCACATCTCCTTTCGTATTTATGATTTGTTTTACAAGTTTCGTTTTTTGTGAGGTCTTTTCAAGGAAAAAATAATTGATAGAACTCAAACAGAGTATTTAGTTTTGTAGCAGTCGGGTAGTGCGAAAATTCACATCATTCAATCATCAGCACCGGGAATATTCCAGCTTAATGCAGTTTCAGAAAACAGTATGTATATTATATTTCTTGCCTTTCAAATACTAATATTTCCCCTTCAACCCTAAAGGCAAACATATTTTCAATGAATCCATTAATATATACATATATATAAACGTAACAGACAGATATGAAACATTATTTTAATATTGTAGCCACCTTGTTCCCTTGTTATAACAATCCATTAAATTCGGTCCCTACATGCAATGAAAACTAAAACAAAACGACAGATGTGCTCACTCAAAAAGCCAATTATTGGGTTTTGCTTGTTTCTTAGTTCCCAACTATCCAGACAAATGAAACCACCAAATTTCCACTACTTCATTTCCAAGAAAACAACAAGCAGTTTCAGTATTCATGCACGCCAATACAAAATGCAAACATTCCATAGCATATCGAAGCATTGTAAGAATACAGATAGCCTGCAGATAAATATACCGGTCCAGTTAAAAATTAAAGATTTCCTGCTATTTTGAACATATATCCAAGCATACTTCAAAATCAAGAAACAATGCAAGTGGAAACTGAACTGCTTGTTTAATCTCACATCTCTAAGAGAGTAATCAACAAGCAGCAGTTAATATATCAGTACAATGAATAGAAAACAAAAATGACCTAATCCTTTGCTTTGCGTTTTGTTCTGCAGTTCATGGCTTTATGAAGATTCAAAATAAGGTCAAGTTCAACCATATTTGATTAATCCATGGCAGTTCTACTAACCAGACTAATGGTCGGTTCCATCCTTGTACTTTTAACACCAGTTTCCCTTTAGGTGGAAAGCTACATAATTTCAGTTCTGAAATTTTCTACTTTTACAAGTTTGTGTGATTAAGAAGTTTCCACTTCTGAAGCTATAATTGGTGCCGTAGGAAAACAATCAACATAAAAAAGGGGGAAAAGGAAATCAAAGGATAAACAGCTTCTGCTTTATACAATCACTAATGTTTAAGTTAAATGTTATGTAACTAGAACTCTCCATTTTGCCTAAAATACCAGTGTCTAACACTATAACAAGCTTATATATACAGGGATGGGATTCAATTACACAATAGTTTTACATAGATTTAAAACCGTTGAATGAATAAAATAGACTGAGATTAGCAATAAATAAACGAGAATATATATATATACACACTTATATTCAACACTCAACTATCAGGTCCTAGACAAAGCATGTAAGAACAAAAAAACCCTTCCCAAATCCCAAAAACAAATACTATAAATATTATTATAGATCTGTTAACCCAATGCTTATAAATCAATCTTTGGGAACTTAGAAGAAACACAAAACCAAACCAAACCAAACCAAAACTATTTCTTTTTATTAAGATCTTTTACATAGAGATGAACAAGAGTAAACAACGTGTATGTAATAAATATCAGCAGGTTAGTTTGCAGGAAGGCAATAAAAGAACGAGCAGATAATAAGAAACATTTCCCATTTTATCAACAAAGAAATCGCATCACATTCAAGCTTAATGCATGTTGAATCAAAATAAAAACATTGACGACGATGACCATCACAGGAAATTAGATAGGGGAACAAAAGACATTTGGATTTTTATGCAGCTTCCCTCAAAGTTCAAAAGAAACCAGAAAGTGCAATGGGAATCCGTAAATTCGACCAAGAATATTAAATACTCGCTCACCACGCCACAATGTTGTGCTCATTTCGCAAACAAAAAGCTTTGTGATTTGATTCAAGTGGGAAAATATGGTGTAGAAGAAGAAACAGAAGAATAATTTATATTGATGATTTGATCCAAAAGCGTTCTAATTTGTACTGCAAAAAAAGAACATACATCTCCCGCATTTCCTTCACTCTCTCTTTCTCTCTCTTTAACAACTACCTATCCCAAATGGTGGATGTCAAATTTCGTAGTACTTAATTATCAATGACACGAAGGTGACATGATTAGAGAAACAAGTGAACAAGAAGAAGAGACGTGGAAGAAAGGAAAAAAGATTGTGGGTGTGCTTTTTTTTTTTTGCTTTTTCTTTTTTTAAGATCTTTGATTTGAAAAAAACTGCGTACCGGCCATGAAAGAGTTGAGTGGAGTTGCATAGAGAGAGGAAGGGTCTAAAAGTGCGGTCGCCGATGAAGAAGCACCGCTACCACCTGCGGAGGCTACAATAGTAGCCGTGTTGGTGGCCGCTGCGGTAGGGCCGAAAGTGATGAGATTCAGCGGTTGAACCACCCTAGCTCCAGAAGAAGTCTCACCAGCGGCTGCTGCTGATGGTGTAACCATGTCGTATCCACTTTCAGGGCCTTGATTGTAAAGAATTCCCTTGAAAACGTGACCCCCGATGTTCACAGACGTCTGATAAGCGTACTGATCGTCGGCATCTTCAATGCTACTCACTCTCACGCACCGAAACACGGCTTCAGAGTTCACTTCTGCTGGGAAATTCCCTGGTTCTAACCCTAAAAAACAACAAACTCAACCCTTCATCAGATATCATGTATGCAAAGTACAGAAATTTTGGGGTTTCCATTTTTTCATGATTATATGTGGAAACAAAGGGATTATCATAATATAAACAAATGTCAATGGGGGAGAAAGGTGGAAATATATCATTGAAAAGAGGGGAGAATATTTTTTAACTGTAAAAAACCTCGTCAGGATTACTAAAAAACAGTGTTTGTAACACTGTACCTAACGCGTTAGTGGGTAAACGAGTGTAGGCAAGGGAAGACGAGGGACGATTCTCTCGATGTCTTCTGGGATTCTCTGTTCGAAGCTGAAGTTGTTGCTGTTGCTGCCAAGCAGCAAGTTGTTGTTGCCTTTCACGGCGCTTAGAAGCAGGAACCCAAGTACTCTTGACGTGAGTTTGGCAATCAAAACCTCGGCTTTTACAACAAGTTCGACACCGCATGTGAGGGCAATCCTTTTTAGCTTGGTTGCCACAATCCTGGCAACTTATAACCCCTCCTCCTCCACCACTACTACCACCACCACCACTTCTCATCATCATGAAACCGGATCTCGACGAAGAATCATCAGAAAAGTTAATCGAAGTCCTACTAGGACCAACCCCTAACCCAGCTGCCGACGCATAAAGATCTTGTTGTTGTTGTTGCTGCTGCTGCCATAGTTCGAAACCCTTGTAAGGAACATCTTCATTTCTGTACCAAAACCAGCTCTCGGGTTGTATTTCGGTCGGCGTATTGCCCTGTTGGGTGTTAGTTCCTCCTAGTGAAAAGAAGCCCGCCATTTCTCCTTCTCTAAACCTCTTCCGGAACTCAATTGTGACAGACAATCCATATCATAAAAATCTCCCCAACAACACGTGTATTTGTTACATAAATCCTCTCGTCTCTTTAACAACTTCGTTGGTTTTTTATTTTTGTTTTCGCTGCAGCAGGCTGTCCCCCCTCGTGCTATCTTCTGGCCCTTTCACTTTAATTGTTTTTTTTTCTCAGTATTGAAAAGAGGGGGCATTTAAGAAACAAAGCAACAACCCGAGAATTTACAGCTCTTTTCTGCAAGCGCCGCCATGCTCTTCTTCTCTTTCTTCTGCTGTAAAACCCTAATTTAATTCGATTCTCATAAACCCGTCTCCCTTTTCCTCTGATTTCACGAAGGTTTCTTGTGTGTGTGTCTCTCTCTCTCTCTGATGAACAAACAAACCCAGAAACAGAAAGGGAATAGTAATTGGTTTATTAATTGTAAATATAAACGAAAGAGCAGTTTGCCTTACTTTTGTTTCTATAAACAGTTGTTGGGTTTCTCTTTCTTTTCACTAACAACTGTCTTTCTCTCTTAGTTTGGCTAAGTCAGATGTCATGTCAACTCCAAATCCAAAGATCAACCGCTGCCCAGCCCCACTTCTCATTCTCGTCTAACGGTCAGAAATTTTCCACGTGTCGCCCGTCCAGCTTTTCCCTTGAAACCCGCTACCTTGTCTTTTTTCTAATTTTTGGCTCGATTTAAATTACTTTGTATAAATTTAACCAAGTCGAGTTAAAAAAAATTAAATTGTTTAAATTTTAATTTATATTTTATGAAAAAATTTGAGTTGATTCAAATTTTTATATAAATTTAATCATAATTATTTATAATATGTAGTACTAATGAATTTTAATTTATTGATTTTTTCTAATTATATAAGATGTATATATTTTAAACATTTTTTTCATATTATAATATTATTTAATAAATTAATATAATTTAAAATTATAAAATATGTTTATAATATTAGTTTTCAACAAAAGAATTTTAAGGTAAGGTTGATAGAAGTATAAATGAGTTAAGAAATTAATAAGAATAAATAATATGTAAAACAATTTAATTAAAATATCAATTTAAATAAAAATAAAATTAAAGGACTAAATTAAAAAAAGTGTAAATTTTTATTTGAAAATAAAAATTAAAGGTACAAAAGTATTTTATAGTAGTAGAGGAACTTATAGTTCAAATTTGATCAATGTGGACTTAAAATAAATAAAGGAATGAAGAAATCATGTAAAATTAAGAAAAAAACAAATTGAAAAAAAATTAAAAAAAATTGAAGATACAATTATTTTATAATAGTTTAAGTACGGTGTTCAAATTTAATAAAAAAAAGTTCACTTAAAATAAAGGAGTAAAATTGAATAAATAAAAAATCATATACCAAATCTTAAAATTGTTAAATACTTGATTAAACTCAAAATTTTAAAATTTTAACTTGACTTAAACTTAAAAATTAACTTGATAATTTAAACAAACTCAAATAAATTATTTTGAATAATTTAAAAATAAAAAATCATTTTTTTCAAATCAAATCAAATTTTACCTATTTCTTACTCATGATTATACTCCCCTTTATCTATCATTTTGATGCGTAGGATTTACTTTTAAACAGAGTACATTTGAATAGGTTAATCTAAATTTTAACTTTTTATCATATAATCTCAGTTTATTTTTACATTACGATTATTCCAAATTTAGGGTATATTTATTTTTGTTATTTTGTTTTCCTAAAAAAAATTTACATATTTGTATGGGTATGTATTTTTAATATTTACTGAAATTTTCGTTTTATCTAAACTATAATATTATTACTCTCTCTGCTTTGCGAAATTAGGTTAAATATTTAAACGATACGTGGGATAATTAAAAATGATTTAATTTATGCACAAATTAAGTGATATTGATAGTAAAAGAATAATTATTATTTATTGAGTTATTGGATTTGAGCATAATGAATGCTAAAAGTATGAGCGTTCATTATCAAATGGTTGAGAGTTATCTTTGAACATATATTATCTTATATTTACTTTAAATTAATAAAAAAACAATTTAATTTCTAAAACTTCCTTTAGAATTGAAAATTTAAATCATTTTGATGAAACTATTTACGTATAATAAATTAAAAATAGAACAAGTATATGCGTTAAATTCTATATAAAGTAAATTATTAAGATGCTAAAAATTTAAATTCATTTGATTGAAATTTTTTATTATAATTTATAGTTGTGTCTTGCAAATTCGAATTCTGTTTCTTATTCTTATTCTCTTCTATTTTAGATTAACTTTTTAATAAATTAATATAATGTAAGTGCATGAATAATTTATATTGGAGCTGTAAATCAAATTCTCCACCGTTTTTTTATTGTAATTTTACCAAGTATTACCCAAAACAATTAATTATTAAACAACAATCATTCTTAATTAATTTCGATTTAACACTCATATTTATTACGTGATAAAAAGATATGTTATACATAAAGCGTTTTACTCAAGTGTCGTCCTAATCAGCAAAAATACTCTATACAAAAAATAAAAAGTGCCTCCATTTAAATTCTAAAAAAATAATATATAAAATAAATTCCAATAATAAAATTCAAATATGACAATGAAATCTTAAATTTAATTCAAATTAATATAACAAAAGTTTTATATTAAAATTATAATAATTAAAAATAATATAAATTAGTGATTACTTCTTCGCTAATGAGTTTAACAAGACAGTGATTATCTATTTCGAGCGATATTTCATCGTATAAGTTGCACTCCAACAGGATCTTTGAGTAAAAGAAAATATAACAAAAATATTTTTTTAAGACGCCTGTCTATCATAAGGGCATATCTGTCAATTGAAACACAATTTTTGAAAAATAATAACAATTGAAATTTGCGATTAGTTTACTAATGTAGAGAGATTTGGGCGGAATAGAGGACAGTGAAATATTTTATCGATTTCTTAAAACTGTTATTAATGTTAATCATGTGTCAGTAATTCAGGTGTAAATTGTGGAGTTACAGGGGAACATTGCGCTACCCTGCCTTCTGCCTTTCCCCCCTTTAATTATTATTATTAATTTGGATAAATACACAAATAGTCCCCGATTATAGGGTATTATTTTGATAAGTCCCTCGACTATTAAAAGTTACCAAATGAACTCTCGACATAGAGTTCTGCCTTGTTAAGTCTATCGACTTTTAAAAGTTATAAAATAATCATATGACTATTCATATGTTCTAAACTCGTCATTTTATGTTAAAATAATGGTGGTTGTCTGAACTAGACGTAAACATGTTAACTGAGGTGTAATAAAATATAATATCATAATCATTTGAGTTGTAGGATCGATTATATGTTTACATTATATCGTTAATCTAGTGCTTAAATCGTTGAGTCAATGCTTAAAAGCAACGACAGTGCCAGTAGACATTACTGAAATATGAATTTATCATATATCAATTAGTAGGTTAACTTCCATCTCAAATAAACGCTGTTTTTTTAACGGAAAATGATGAGTTTAGAACATATAAATAGTCGGGGGTGATCATTTTGTAATGTTTAATAGTCGATGGACTCAAGAAAACATCACCCTATCGTCGGATGATCATTTTATAACTTTTAATAGTCAAGATACTCGATAAAGTAACGCCCTATACTCGGTGAACTATTTGTGTACTTTATCCCATTAATTTCTACAATAATTATATACTATTCATTTCTATCTATGTAATTTGACTTCTTACATGAGTTTATTCTTGATTTTTTACCCTTTCTAGTCTGTTTAATTAATATTCAAATACAAAATAATTAACAACTATTAATTGAAATATAATATATAATAAGTGGTGAATCTAACTATATAAAGGATAACATGTTTTTTAAATGATCATCATTTAAATAATATTTAGATGAATTTATCCAAACTGAAATAGGATATATATTCTCATGAGAACATAGCAAAATGTTAAAAAATAATATATTGTTTGTATTATTTTATTCTTTCTATAAAATAAGATCGCAAAGAAAGAATCAGAAAATTCAATCAAATAATTCAATAAAATAAAACAAAGTATATAAATAAATACTATTATTAACGATAAAATATAAAAATTATTAGCACTTACATAATAACAAAACATTATAAGACGTTGATAACTGATTTTATTATAATTTAATCATGACATATTTATGGTGAAAGATAAAAGCCGTTAATGCTAACATAATAATAGAACATGATAACACATTGATAACTTACTTTATTATAATTTAACTATATCATATTTGTGGTGATTGCGAGTACTTATCAAAGTGAGAGAGTCGAACTGATAGTATTATTAACACTTACATAATAATAGAACATATAACATGTTGATAGCTGGTTTTATCACACTTTAGTCACGACATATTTATGGTGATTGGAAGTACTTATTAAAATAAAATAATCAAATTGATGGTACGAAACAATGGTAGATCGACAAATTAACTCAATAATCACTCGTTGAAGTGACAAGATAAATTTAATTGATAAAAAACTTATATAAAAATTAAATTAATACATATTACAAGACGAAAGAAAATATCTATAATTTGTTTTTGATAAATTTAGGATGAATACAATGTAATATATGTTTATAGACTCTTAATCCTTCGACAATGAATGTTCATATCTTTACATTCGTGATGCTCTAATTCGAAAGCTCAAAAGATAACAATGAATCCCTTAAACACTAAGATCACTTGATTCGCGTAAAAAACATCTATAATTTTAATAAGAAAAAGATAGTAAACAAAAATAAATAACTTAAGTTTGTAAGGACTGTACATGGTGAAACATCAAAATAGATATCAAAAGCAAAAGGCAAAATGGGTATGGGTCACATTTGTCTGTTTCATCCGTGTACATGAGATGGAGAGCTTTGTAATCACTACCTGAAACTGATAGACTGCAATTTTTGAAGGTTTGTTCATCTTTCAACGTTTCTCTGATTGGATTGCCAATGCCGTTGGCCCCTTTTCTTATATTGTTTAGATTTTTTTTTATAAAATTCATTGCATTGGTGACTGTTGGATTTTTTTAAAATAAAAGGCCAATATATTTTGGAAAAATGGGACAATATTCTTGTTGCAAACCCTAATTCTTATATATATTTGAATATGAACCTGATTTAGTTATAGGATAACAGTGACTTTTTTACTATTACTACAAAACAATCTACTTCGTTTATCATAACATAAGATGAAATGAAGTTTAATTAATAGATAAAAATACAAGCTTATACTTAAAGCAGAAGCCACTGTGAAATGTCCCGATCAATAACGTTTCCCGACGTATCACTCATTTTGCTTCATTATTTCGGTTTGAATGATAAATTAATCGTGATGACAGGCAACTCAT